ATGCCGAGCCCACCTAGGGGACGGCCAGGACCGGTTCAGATAATCGCCGTTGCTGTTGACCGTGGCTGAAGAAATGTAGGCGGCTGGTGTGCTAACCGCTGCGCCACCGCCCCCCACTCCGCACCCCCCCCTTCCCCCCCCGACAACCTCGTGCGAGGTTCTGTTCCAAATTCTTTATCTTTCCCCCTCGTTTACCCAGGACAGGTTCGCCGAGTCTCAGTGCCTCTTTTTCATGAGAGTCCTGCCAAGTTTGTGCTGTGGGTGAGTTATTCGCGGGTCTTGTTCCAGCATTGGGCGGAGGCCAACAGCCAGTTACATTGTGGATGTTAGCGATGGGCCTGCACCGGAAACACGTGCAGGATCGAGGGCCAACAACCATACCACTGCGCAAGGTTAGGGGCCGACCATAAATGACATCACGCATCTAGGGGAGGGGGGGGAGTCAGACATTTGTGACGATGTGTGACGAGGAGGGGGGGGGGGGGGGGTGAGAAATGTGACGTCACATCAAATTCCGCAACTTTTAATAAATATAGACAACACGTTCTACTTACTTAAATAGACTTTTTAATCAATGTTTTCTCCTACAACATCAGAGTGCAGCGCCACACGAAATACGCACTACAATGACAATAGTTTAAAGCGATTTGAAGCATGTTTTATATATTTGGGGGGGGGGGGGCAGAGCTTCGTGACGTAATATTTGAGGGGGGGTCTGACCTTTTGTGACGCCGTGTGATGAAGAGGGGGGGGTCAAACATCGCGTGACGTCATTTATGGACGGCCCCTTACGCCTATTCATAGGATAGAAAGATCCCCCGTTACAGCCTTTACAGACTGTTGCGGCGAGTACTGTCAGCAAGCAGCTATGAAGGCCTGCACTGTGAACACACACACAGGGGGTGGATGGCCAGAACCACGCCCGGCTGCCTTTGTCTTCCCAGCGCGGATGTTAGCACGCCGCACCCGGTATTCATTTGAGGCTCAGTCGACCTAGGGGAGGCCCAGGATCGGCTCAGATAATCGCAACTGGTGTTTGTGGCCGTGAGCCGGAATCTACCTCGAGTTCGTAGAGCAGCACGCTAACCACTACACTACCGCTCCACACACCTGTCCACACACCACAGAGACACCTGTACACACACACACACAATAGAGTCGAGGCAATGCTACACCACGTGTGCCCAGAGGGAGCGAGGTGTTATGTTTGTTGTGAGCAAAGCCCACAGAATGTATTCGTTCTGTGTTGATGTCCGTGTGCGGAGATCGGTGGCGCAGTGGTTAGCGCACTGCGCTGTCAACTTTCCCGCACGACCTCGATTCTCGTTTCTATGCAGCGGTGCACAGGCACGTAAATACATGCATGATTTGCCAACAACACTGACTGTGGCCTGAACGAGAAAAGTAAGAGGTGACGATTCGGGCAACGGTGCTCCTTCAGGGCAAACATGCAGAGAGGTCGGCTCACAACCTCCAGAAGCAAGATTCCTCGGGCAGAGTTTCTCAGCGGTGGAAGACATCGTCCGGTAGGGGGTTATGTGATGTCCCCCATCTCAGGAGACGCGGTGGCGTGAGCTGACGGTGGACAATGTAGGCAGGTGCAGACACAGGCCTGCAGGTAAGCCACGCAGGTTGACGTTCATTGAGCGCAGGTGTTTAAACGTCCGCCTGGTCGCCTCGGTGCGTATGCACCTCGACACGCGTCCAATGCACAGGAACTACGCGGCCCCAAACTCACAATGCGCGATACTCGGCGTGCTGGTTCAATGCTTTAGCGCCCACAGGGGGAGCCTTGGCTCGGCAAAGTTAAAGAAGAGGGTGAGGGTGGTCGGAGGTGGGGGGGGCAGGATGCGAGAGGAGGTGGACTGGCTCACCTGCGCACAGGTAGGACAGATGCCTCACCTGCGCACAGGTAGGACAGATGCCTCACCTGCTCACAGGTAGGACAGATGCCTCACCTGCGCACAGGTAGGACAGATGCCTCACCTGCTCACAGGTAGGACAGATGCCTCACCTGCGCACAGGTAGGACAGATGCCTCACCTGCTCAGAGGTAGGACAGATGCCTCACCTGCTCACAGGTAGGACAGATGCCTCACCTGCTCACAGGTAGGACAGATGCCTCACCTGTGCACAGGTAGGACAGATGCCTCACCTGCTCAGAGGTAGGACAGATGCCTCACCTGCTCACAGGTAGGACAGATGCCTCACCTGCTCACAGGTAGGACAGATGCCTCACCTGCTCACAGGTAGGACAGATGCCTCACCTGCTCACAGGTAGGACAGATGCCTCACCTGCGCACAGGTAAGGGCGTCGCGGATATGAGGCGGGGGGGGGGTTGCATTGGTGTGGCTCAGATCCCGAAGGTCGGGTGTCGACTCGGGATTGCCAAGAACGTGGCGTCAGCGCTGATTCCGTGGTGACACGTGGTGACACGGAATCAGCGCTTTCGGTGCCAATGTCTCTCCCCCCCCCCCCCCCCATTGCAGTGTGATAATGGAGTCTCCCGCGCCGCCAACGTGAATCACGGAGACCCCCTCGCTCGCCACACCACCCACCCACCAACCCTATCGCCGCTCTGCTTACCGCGCGCCTCGCAACTGCACCGAACCTACCACCCCCTATCGCTCACCCCTGCAGACACTGGCGAAGCCAGTTGGGGGGTAGGGTGGCACGTGCCCCCCCCAATGATCAAATCCTTAATTTCGATCGGATCATTGGGGTTTATTCGTAATAAATCGGCATTTTGCGACCCCCACTGCCACTGTGAAGCATGTTATTACGTGCCAAGGACTCGATGAGATGATGGGACAATGGTCTGAGTCCATAATTGGCAATAAGTAACGGCAAAGCAGTTATAAGTGACTCACAGAATTGTGCGCAGTTGCGTGTACAGTGCACGGCTTCCCTGAAGGCATCGACACCTTCAGCGAGCGCGATGCCGATCACACAACGCGGTTCGAATTTGACCCTCGATCGATGGCTCCGCCATCGCCGCACACGCGTTCAATAAAAGTAAGGGACAAGTCCTTACTTACTAACAACTCCTCTATCATTTTTCATTGCTGGAGGAGTTGCCCACCCCTACCTGAAAAAGTTGGCTCCGCCATTGCCTGCAACCAGCCACTCAGTTCCCGCCCACCATCACCAACACATTCCCTTCCACTCACCCCACATCCCTTGCTCCCGTACCCAATGGTTCACCTCTCCTCCCCCCCCCACACAACGCCTCACCTTGACCACCCCCCTCCCCGCCAAAGTCTCTCCCACCTCCGGCCACACCCAATCCTCACCAGCCCTCACCCCACTCACCTGTCCCCACCCCCCTCCGTCCCAACCTCTAACCGCACCCAACTGTCACACATGAAACCCAACGGGCTACGTTGGTCAACACTGCCGCTGGCATTGGTGCACTCCGTAACACGAGCACGAAGTCACAATACTATTAAACTCTGTTTAAGGCTTTCCGTGACTGCAAGGATTCATCTTCTTTGGTTCTTTCGGTAAAGTCACGTAAAATGAGAATAAAATAATACAATAAAATTCTCACGACGTTTCGGCCACAACACAAGTGGCCTTCTTCAGGTGAAAGGGACAGACCTGTTGGGACGACAAAGCTTCAATAAACTGTCCCTTTCACCTGAAGAAGGCCACTTGTGTTGTGGCCGAAACGTCTCGAGAATTTTCATCGTTTCATTTTATTCTCATTCTACGTGACTTTACCGAAAGAACCAAAGACTATTAAACTCGTTTTGTTTGACCAGTTCAGGGGTCATCGAGCTGTACGCCTCGCTTCCTACGCGACCTCCTTCCACGCGTTTGTCCCACCGTGGGGGTGTCTCGCCCTCCTTGCCAGCCTTTTCCACGCTGCCCTGTCCCATCTCTTTCCGCTCCTCGTGCCACCATGGGCCGATCGCACCACATCGCCCCCCACCTCTTCCGTCTGCCTTACTCTGGATCTTTTACTTCCACTTGCACCTTTTGACCCGCACTTTCCCCCCCGTTGTTTCTCTACATGGCCGAACCACACCAGCCGGTTTTTGCTCTGATTTCTACCAACTCGAGTCTTCCCCTCACTTAATTTCTCACCCGGTCCTTTCTTATTAAACCCAATATCTCTGACTGCCGTAGCTTGGTTCTCCCTCCGTGCCCCAGCACTCGGCCCCATATAACAGTACCACCCTCACCGGCCTGGACACTTTCCCCTTCAAATCAAAGTGGGACCCGCCTCTTATTGTACACCACACAGCTCTCGCCATTTCAGCTATCCAGCCCGACCTGGCGATCATGAATTATAGTTTGACAAAGTGGGACATCACGTAAATGAGCATTGCGGTCAACTCTAAACGGACGATGTGGAGTCTAAAAATGTGGATTGAGAAACCAGAGGTCGGAGAAAGATACACACGGCCACGAGGCGACACTCAAACCCTATATATATGCAGTAGGTAGAGTTAGGATCGAACGCATGACCCCAGCATATCAGGCGAGGGAGTTCACCACGCCAATCAAGACACCATTGCAGCCATGAAAAGGGACAAGTCTATATTAGGCGACGTTTCAGGTCATGGGCCCCCTTCATAGCACATAAGGACCCCCTGTGAGACTTTGTACAGCACATGTGACGACGTAAAATACACCACGAGGAGATGTCAATGCAACTCCATCGCCAGTAACAATAAAAACCCACAAAATCCAGCGAGTGAACGCGTACAAATATTTTTTATTATTATAGCAAACGCGTTTGGGTCATGAAAACAGCACCAAGACACCAGCAACATGCCGCTTCCACCCCCCAGCAGTCTCAAACACCCAGGGTGGTGGAGGGCCCACGAACGAGAAAATCTTAGCGAGCAGAACTACTGTGGGGGAAAGGGGGGGGGGGGGAGTTGGAGGAGGCGGTGGCAAGTGGAGGCAGTGGTGGTTGGGGGGGGGGGGGGTCTTGTTTTTCCAGTGGCACGCTTGGATTTGAGGCAGTTGGCTAAAATTTGGTGCATTCCCCCCCCCCACTCAACTTATCACTACCGCGGCGATGAACGTGCCATCAAAATGAAAAGCGGCTCGAGGAATTAACGAGCTAAAGTCTGGGGTCTGCATCGCGCGACATTAGAGGCCGTCACACACCCCTACGGCCAAACGCTTGAAGCAACGATCCAATTCACTAGGGTAGCGTCACGATCCCGAAAACTAACAGTACACAACCCGAACTAACTCACCCCAAAAGCCACAGTCTTCAACGTGCCACGCAGAATTTCCTTGCGAGTGTCAGCACTCTGGGCACTCCCCCCCCCTCCACCACAGACCCCCTAACACCCACCACCCCACCGCTTGCATCTGGGGGGGGGGGGGGGGGGGGGGGAAATCAAATCACTTCTTGACCGGAGACTTTGAGGCCTGCGCCTCGATGGCGTCGTAGCAGGCGGCCGTGAGGGCTGCGATGAAGATGATGAACTCTTTGAAGTCCACCTGGCCGTCGCCATCTTCGTCCAGATTCTTCATCTCCTTCTCGATCGCCGCCGAGTCGTTGGCGTTCTGTGTGGGGCGAGGCGAGGCGGAGAGCGAGTGAGGAGGGATAGAGGGGAGGCGTGCTTGGGGGTGAAAGGGGATACGTGAGTGACGTGGGGGGGGGGGGGGGGTAACGTGTACGATGGAGGAGGTGGGGGAGGGCGGCGTGCAAGGGAGAGGGAAGGGGAGAACAAGCAAGTTGGAGTGGGGGGGGGGGGTGATGGAAACAGCGGCGGGGGGGGGGGGGGGGGGGACGGTACGCGAGTTGCATGCGCACGGTGGGTGTGTGGTGGGTGTGTGGTACACGGGCAACGCGTGGGGACGCGCAGGGGAGACGCGCAGGGGAGAGCGCGTGGGTACGCCGCGAGCCCCGGGGGGAGACCCTGGCAGGGTTGCTGGGGCGTGGCGTGGCCATCTTCCCCAACTGCGCAACAACCTCGAGCGCCCGGGTTCCAATTACCAGACAATGGAAAAGAATAAATAAATCACTGCGGAGCGTCTCTCGTTAGCCACGGCCGGGAATCCAACCCGGAAGGCTTCAACGACCGTGCACAGCAAGCTCCACGCCCAGACAATCCCGCTGGAGAAAATAAAAACTCTTGCCGTCTTTAAACTGACATTTTAATTAGTAATACCCAATTTTCTCGAAATTAAGTCTGTAAAGCGGGTGTTTGTTCTGCCACTTAACTTTCCATTGCTGTTATGTACCTACGCGGTTAAATTTTTTTTTATATTATAGCATCTGGCAGGTTTCGGAGACTGGTTCTACTTAAATAAAAAAGTGTCAATCCCAGTCGAGTCGTCACCTGGCTTAAACAAACGTAAAAATCCCAACATAGGCACGCCCTCGTCACAAAAAAAAACCCCTTCAATTAATCATTAAGCGATGGTTCATGACTGCCGTACCATCCAAGGTTATTGCACAAGTGCTGAGCGAGCACCCTCACGGTAAAGTGGCCGGAGCGCCAGCAACGAGCGTCTGGGTGTGGTCACTACCACGCCCTACCAGCCCAAATGTCCGATGGTTAACGCAGCGCACTCAGATTTCAAAATTCACCTAGGTGGAGGTCAGGTCCAAGAAAGGTTAATTAACTTGGCACTATAATCCAACATGCTGATCAAAGTTTCATTTCCTTTAAAACATGCCACGCTATTTTTTTACCTTCACACCATAATACCCCATTAACACTACTTCGGCTGACTTCAAAACTTGCGTAAACTCTTGCTGGTAACAGCTTCTCTTCACAAGGCAGCAGACATCGCGATTTTCACCTGAAGACGGGCACTCGTGTTGCTTTTGAAACGTCGTGATCCATTTTATTTCTACCTACGTGACTTTACCGAAAGAACCAAAGAGTATTGATTCCTACAGTCACTCAAGATTGAAAAGGTACAAATATTGAGAGAGCGCGAATCGAATTGTTGTCAAAGTGCCCTGCGCCAAATCACAGCGCCTCCAGCCTTTAAACAGACCGATGGTGCAAGTGCTGTTGGCGAGTAACAGCAGCAGCACCACCACCACGCTCGGCCGCTCCCCACCCACCACCACACGACCAGACCCACCTGAAGGTATCCGGGCAGCTCCTTGGTAAGGAGGCACTTCAGCTCGGCATTGGAGAGCCTGGAGCTGTCGCCATCCTTGCCGGCATACGCCTTGAAGATCCCCATCATGGAGGCGATGGTGAGTTCCAGACCCGTGGGCACGTACTTGTCAGACATGCTTGCTTTGCTGGTAGGAGGTGGTGGAGTGGTGGGGGGATACAACGGTGATGGGAGAGAGTAAAATAATGTAGCAGCTTTTGAAATGTTCCGAATCAAAAGCTTCAGTAAGCAAGATTGCATGCTTTTGGACAAGCACGTAGTATGACGCACACACGGGATGGTCGCTAAAGCGGTAACAGTTAAAAAAAAAATCATGGGTTTCGTCACGGAGCGAAATGGCAGAGGCAAACCAGCCAAAAGCGTCACCGCAAAAAATCCTCACCTTCGCTACCAGCGTCTAATAATAATAGTACAGAAGCCCTGGTGGCACGCCAATACTGGATGGTGAGCTCTCCGCCCCACCCAAATTGGACCACGGTGTGGAGGATTGCGCGACCATACTTCACCACGCTGGTCAATGCAGGTTTATCGAAAAGGAGGATAAAAAAAACCACATCAGCAACGTCGGTAGGATGCAGCCGTAGGTGCTATTGTCCAAACAGAACGCGGCGACCATTCGCTTAAAAAAATGTTAGAAATAAAAAGTGGCGACCATTGCAAGCGCAACGCCACGAGATGGAGGTGGCGTTGGCTTGCTTGTTCGCGGTGTGTATGCGCGCGAGTCCGTGCGTGTGTGTGGGTAAAAGCCCTCATCCAGCAGTGGATCGCCTCTCCGCTACGGCCGATGAAAGACGAAAAGCCCCCCCCAAAAAAAAACACCATTAGCCACGACCATTGCCCGTACCTCTCCCCTCGATAAAAAATACATGTAAAAAAATGAAAGATTCCTAAAAAAAAAAAGCTCTTACCAAACCGAGCTGGCCTAAAGACGTGAGGCGATGAAAGGTGAGCACCCTGCGAATCCGCTGTTGACGGTGCTCCACTCCACGCTATTTATACTCGAGGCGCCCATCACCACACCTGCGCCGGCCGACCGACAGCGCCGTCACGTGACGCGCGGGTGAATGATTCATGAGCGACGACGGCCCCTGGGCCAATGAAAAAGAAGAAAAGGCACGGGAGCACGTGGCGGACACACGGTTGCAACCCCCCCGCCCACCCCCTTGATTTAATGAGCAGCTGCAAGGGTGCAGTGAGGCAAGAATGACGACGTTCCGCGTCGTGTTATCGCGGGGTGGGTGGTGTTGGGAGATTATAGCGCGCGGTTGTGATTTCGCGGGTATGGGGGGGGATGGGTGGTGATTGCAACACTATGCGAGACGATTTTTGTCCCCTGGGTAGTGTTATTTTCTCAATGCTTACGCCTCAAAGGTATATAAAATGGCTTTTAGTCTCCGCAAACTTTGCTTTTGTGACCAGGGCTGTATGTGAAGGAATGACACAAATGGACACCACGTTTTCTCATTGAAAACAGGTACATTTCAAAATATCACTGTCCTGGTCACAAAAGGAAAGTTTGTGGGGAATAATAGCCATTTTTTGTACTTTTGAGGAATATTTTTTTTTTTTAGAAAGTAACACTTACTGGAACAAAAAAATATATTTTTGTTACACACTGTTGTCTGTCTCACCGGCCCATGTGTGTTCTGGCTCGGCGGTGGTCTGAGAAGAGTCGGATATTCCACATTCCTATGACAAGTGAAGGTTCTGTGGGGTGTGGGGTGTCGGTCCCCTTGATGTGCACGCAAGTATAAAAAAATAAAGATCCCCCGTATAGCCTAAACATCCTGTCTGCGCAAGTGCTGTTAGCGAGCGCCTATGAAAGCCAGAACGGTACACGAGGGGGTGGGTGGCTAGCACCACGCCCAGCCGCCTTTGTCTCCCGAGTGGCGATGTTTACTACACACCGCACCAGATACTCATTTGAGGCTGAGATATAATCGTCACAGATGTTGGCCGTGAGCGGGAATCAAACTCGGGTCGTCAGGTTCGTAGCGCAGCGCGCTAACCACTTACACAGCGCTGATGTTTAACCCAGCGCACACCAGGGCACTCCGTTGTCATGGTTGAGTCGACCTAGGGGAGGGCGACATGGATCCGGCGCCAATGTTCGCCACCGTTATTGATCGTGAGCACACACACACACTTAGCCACACACAGCTGCGCACGGTTTGAACAGGTAACACTGATGGGTAGGGGGAGGGTGGTGGTTGTTAGGTACACCTCAATCCAATTTAGGATTCACTCACCGCCGACTGCACGAGGTTACAAACCTGCACGGGCTCTGGGTATTATACACTGTCGTATGTGTGGTCGTGTTTGTGTGTGTGAAGGAGTTTGTGTGTGTATGTATACTGTGTATATGTAAAGTGTTTATACTGTGTACATGTATAATATGTGCATGCACAATGTGTGCATGCATAGGCTGTGCATGTGTAGGGGGTTAATCGGCACCCACCACCCTGTTGGCTGGTAGCTCCCCCTTCTCGTCAACAGGGGGCGGAAGCGCTCTCACGCCACCCTTAGTGACCATGGCCCAAAGGAGCCAACGACAATCCCTGGGAAGCCGATCCTGGGACACATTCCCCGGCACCCCTGGAGGGGCGACCGGGGGATGACGTCACCGTCCAGAAAGTTCTGGAAGGGAGGCGTGGCTAGGGCGGAGCAAGGGTCTGGCTCAGTCACCTCCAAGCCGAAGACCTGGGATGAGGTTAGGACTCTGGGCCCCAAGCTCCGTCGTCCTTCTAAGGGCCGGAGCTCAGTGAGGCCAGCGGTCAGGACCCACGGACCGGGGACGGTCGGGTCAGCGTAGCCTCCCCTAGGGCCCGTGTAGTCCTGAGGCCATACCTCCCCAGGTATCGGGTAAAGGGGCCGCTACCCCTTTGTGTTAGGGACCTTGTATAATAGAACCAAATAAATATCGTGTTGCCTCTCAAAGAAGTTCTCCGCCAATGATTACCCACTACACATGCATACTGTGTATATGTATATTGTGTACGTGTATAGTCCGTACATGTACAGTGTGTGCATGTATACTATGTGCATGTTTATGTGTACATGTATACGTGTACTTGTATACTATGTACGTGTATAGTGTGTACACGTACATTGTATACGTGTATAGTGTGTACATGTATAACGTGTAATATATTGTGTATAGTGGGTACGTGTATAGCATTTACATGTACCGTGTGTGAACGTCGCTTTGAGTCTAAATGGGTGAAATGGCCCCAGCAATGCATCCCGAAGTGTGTCGTTTCTGCCCCTCAATACACGGGCACACCTTCCCACAACGCAATGTACAGTACTCGTATAACTTGAATACAGTAAAAACATGAGACTATTTAGAACGATAATATTTTGGAATTTTTTTCAGGGGTGTGTGCGTTATTAAACGTCTACTTTTGGTACAGCTATTAATCTGCCAATTTAAGAATTGGTTTTATCATGAGATATATTTTTAAATTCAATTGTCATGAGGCCCCATGATGGAAACAAGACCGTCTCCAACGTCGCATATTATGTAATTTTTCCGATTAAGGCTACAGTGCTATTGACAAATGTATTGAGTGTATATATATGGTGGCAGTTCTTGGGTCCAGGTTGATGAGGCGAGGCAAATCCGCTCCGGGGTTTCCAGTCCAGTGTGAAAATACCAGATACAGATCTAAGTGAGAACGACATGGTGGCTAGGATATGTTAACTACCTCGCCTGGTATACAGGAGTTCGTGGGTTCCATCCCAACCCTGAAGCCTGCTGTATATTTTTAGTTTGAATGTCTATGCATTCCAACATGACAAGCCACTTCATTGAGCCATCATTTGTGGCCAGGTCGCTTCTGAAAAAAGACCTACAAAGCTGAGTGGGTTTTAACTGACAATTAAACAATAGTTAGTTTTATAACCCGAACACAAATGTAATGAAGATGGTGATGCTGACTTAATGCTGCTGAACCCCCTACCAAACCAGTTGTCAATAGAATCTCTCTCCATCTCTCGTCGAGTTCGGTACAAATTCATAACTCGTGGAACGCAGTGCCCACGTGTGGTGACGTGGATGGTGATGATGGTGATGATGCAGTCAAGTTAGACAATGGTGTTTACACAAGAGTGCATTCATGCGACACACTTCCATATGCTGAACACGAATGCAGTTCTATCCTTGCGCACGATGGCAACATCAAGATGTTCAAGGAGCGAGATGCTAAAATGTCGAGATCTGTTTCTGCTGGCCGCGACGAGAGGGCTTCAGCAGAGAGAGAGAGAGTTCGTGTTCTTCCTCCGCTGAAGTAGTGCAGACCAACAGTGGGGTTACTGTGCGGTGCATAGTTTGGGTTGCATGGTCACAGTCGCACGACTTGTGTGGCTCCGTCTTTCGTTAATGTTCCTCCGATGAGTCAGTATCTGTGTAGTGGCGTAACACGTGCAGGGTTTGTAAACAGCAGTTGCATTTATGTACGGGGTTGCAGACAGTGAGGTCATCTAAGGATAAGCAGGTACAGGCAGGTGGCCTGGGTGACAGCAGACAGAGAGCCGCCAGCAATTAGGGAAAGAGGCAGTGATTGGCTGGCTGCAAATACAAACGCTGACTAGGCGCCACGGAGGTGAGAGATAGTGGCGATAAGGGGGAGAACGCGTGTGAGAGGCGTCGGGAAGACACCGGCTTAATGAGGGCCATCTGAGGGCACTTAATGAGGAGGGGGATAAAAGGGGAACGTGTGAGGCAGTTTGGTTGAGTTGGTTGGAGATGAAGCAGTGAAGAGATTCAAGAGAAGTCCGAGACCTCGCGTTCCACACCTCGTCCTCCCCGGTGGTGTTGGCTGAACCCCCGCTGGCGGAACGAGCGAGGTTGGAGGTGCGGGTGTAGACAGGCTAGCAGTGGAGAGGCCAGCGGAATCTTTAGTCTGAGTGTGATAGGCTAGCGGGGTGAGAAGCTAGCAGAGTATACGGAGAGAGAGTCCGTGACTGGCTCGGAGAGCGAGAAGTAACAGGCTAGCGGAGCAAGGGAGAGCAAGCTCGAAGTAGTAGGCTAGCAGTGGAAGAGTTCGCGACAGGAGTGCGTGGTGTTGAACAAGAGAGGCATCCCTGTGGGAGGCTGTGAATAACGTGACACAGGAGAAAAGACGAAGTGTCCGCGTGAATAAACACCACACTACATCTGTAAGCAATCTGCAGGTCTCTATGCATATCTTTGTGTTGTCGGGGAGGCTGACCCCAGTCTCCTCACTCAGGTGGGATCTGCTGCTCCCCCCTTCCGTGTCCTGGGGAGGGTTACTGTTCACCGACTCCCTCCCCCCCCCCTTCGCTGCAGCCCCTCAGGGCATGATTCATGGCTGGCGCTTAGCCACCTGGGGTCAATTTACACAATCTCTACGCACACTCACACCCACTCACTCGAAATCCGAAGTCGCTCCTCTCCTGTCCCACGCACCAATTGCGCGCGCGGGACTCAGGGTCGGGGGTTAGAGGGCAAGGACGTCACTCGCACATGGCAAGCAGCTTGGGGGGTTGTCTCGGAGATTTATTTAAAGGGCTGTATGAACAATCTCACCGGTACGCCGCCTGTTCACCCCACGCACACGCTAAACAAAAGGCCGCACGAATAATCTCGCGTGTACGCCGCCCGTTAGCCTCACGCACACGTTAAACGAAAGGGCGTATGAGTAATCTCACGTGCCCCTGTACGAGTCCGCCGCCGCGCACCACACGTACACGCTAACCACGAGCTACACGCATGGGCGAGCGCAAACACGTGGGTAAATACACACTCACGCACAAACACAGGGTACAACGACACACACCAACAAGCATCCGTCCCACCCTCGCAGAAACCACAGGACAAGGTTTATTGATCCCCAGCAGTTTATTCTCAGCGAGTCAGAGGTTAAATTACCCGAGTCAGTTTGAGTGACCAGGGCAGGTCTAACCTATCTCCAGATGGTCTAAGACCCGAATCACTCTCCTAAGACAATCTCACAATGGCCTCAATACCTCACTCTCGGGTACTCACGGTTCGACTCGTACGGAGCTGCTGGGTC